GGAGAGTGAACGGACTGTGAGGTGGTCTGTAGGGAAGAGGCGCTCAGGAGAGGGGCCGCGTTGTCCAGTTGTCCGTCTCAGCCTCTGCTTCGGCCGCTGGGCCCAGGGGCGGAGGCGGGGCTTTCAGGTGGTCCCTCGAGAAGAGCGGCCTCTGGAGTCGGCGTGTGGGAGCGGGTGTTCCCGCGTGTGCGTGTGTGAGAGACGGTGTGTCCTGTGGCCATGAGCCTGGGCCTGGACAGAAGGCGATGGGGCCACGATAGCCGTGAGCTGGTTAATGGCCCCCGAAGAGAGGTTCCCATGCTAATCCCTGGAACTGTGAATACAGGCCAGCGGGCAGGAGGGAGGCCAGCGGGCAGGAGGGAGGCTGTGCAGGCAGGAGGGAGGTTGTGCAGGCAGGAGGGAGGCTGTGCAGGCAGGAGGGAGGCGAGGGGGCAGGAGGGAGGCCGGGCAGTCGGGCGGAAGAACCTGGGCTGATCTCCGCCTGGGAGGGAGGAGGCGGCTTGGCGACCAGCAGGGGGCTCTGCCTGAGCGCCTGGGTGACCGGCTGTCTTTGGCGAGCAGATGGCGGGGCTGGTCCTGAGCTCGGTGGAGGCCTGGCTTGCAGGGGGGAGGCCGTGTGGAGTTGCCGAGCAGCCATTGCACGAGCAAGTCTGGAGCTCCGGGCAGGAGGAGCAGGGACCTCTGCATGGACAGACGGGGTTGGAGCCATTCCACCCGGGGTCTCCTGCAGGTGGAGCAAAGAGGGGCTTCCCCCAGGTTCCAGCAAGGACCGGGAGAGGCGGCCCTGGGGGCGGAGCGGTGCTGGGGGATGGGCGTGGGGCTCCAGAATCTGCTTAAGCCTCCACCTGTTCCCTCGTGCCCTAAGTGGGGATGACACTGCCTCCCAAGGCTGCCACGGGAGCACAGAGAGCCTGTGGCCGAGGCCACACACAGCTGGGGACGGTGGTAGACACGGTGGTAAATGACAGTTGCAATAGGTGATGGGGAATGATGCCGCCGATGGTGGAGATGGTGATGGATGGAGATGAGGTGATGGTGATGATGGTGATGGTGATGATGGTGATGATGATGGTGATGGTAGAGGTGGCAATGATAGTAATGGGTGAAAGTGATGGTGATAATGATGGTGATGGTAGTGATAATGGTGGTGGTGGTGGTGGTGATGATGGTGACGGTGGTGATAATGGTGGTGATGGTGGTAGAGGTGGCGATGATAGTAATGGGTGATGATGGTGATGGTAGTGATGGTGATGGTGATGATGGTGGTAGAGGTGGCAATGATAGTAATGGGTGATGGTGGTGATGATGGTGAAAGTGATGGTGATAATGATGGTAATGGTGGTGGTGGTGGTGATGGTGGTGGTAGAGGTGGCGATGATAGTAATGGGTGATGATGGTGATGATGGTGATGGTGACGGTGATGGTGGTGGTGATGGGTGGTGGTGGTGGTGGTGGTGGTAGAGGTGGCTGTGATAGTAATGGGTGACAGTGATGGTGATGGTGAAGTGATGATGGTGGGGAAGGTGCTGATGGGACTGGAGATGGTGATGGTGCTGATCCGTCTCTAAATGGCGTTTCTTTCTCTCTCTGCGTTGTCTCCCCACGAGCGGAGGGGCGAGCCAGCGTCCCCTCCCCGGGCTGCCTGCGGGCGGTCAGGAGCCCCCTGACCCCCGGCTTCTGTTTCAGGACATCGACTGGGTGCAGACGGAGAAGCACGTGTTCGAGCAGGCGTCCAGCAACCCCTTCCTGGTCGGCCTGCACTCCTGCTTCCAGACGACCAGCAGGTAGGAGGCTGGGCCGCTGCTCCCGGTGATAAGTGTGGGGTTGGGCTTGTCTGCTGAGCTTCGTTCTCATTGGCTGCTGTCACCGTGAGTGAACGTCACTCATCCGGACCTCAGTTACTTCATCCCCGTGAGCGCAGAGCCCCCGGCCTTTCCCCCAGACCTGCGCTGGCCCCTCCCCGGGTCGCAGATTCCACCTCCTTCCTGCCTCAGCTTCCCCCTTCCTCCTGCCTGAACTGGCCACAGCCTCCGGGAGCCGGGTCCCCGGGCTCCACAGGCTGCCACCCCGCGGGG